AATCCAAAATACTTGCTTACAAGCCACTTAGCTTAGTTGCAAACTCTGGTCTAACTCCAAAGACGATCACTCTAATATGAGGGTACTTCAAAAGTTCACGGAGCTGGCCAAGTTAGCTCAGTTGGTTAGAACACAGCTAATAAGGCAGAGGAGCAAGATGGCGACAGGTCTGGAGCGGGCGTGCCAGAAGACAGAGCGAGCTTGAAAAGTGTGCGCTGTGCTGCCAGAGTACTATTTGCATCTCCAAGAGCAACAAAAAACGAATAAATCACTGATCAACTAATCTACAACGAAAAAAAGCAACTACAGTCTCGAGGTTTTAGGGCCGATACAAAAGGAGATTCCTGAGAGCGCCCCAAACGCGCCGGGAGACCGAGCGAGCAGCCCGAGGCAACAAAGGCCAGGAAAGAGGGCAGCAGCGACGCAGAGACGGAGAGGAAGGCACGGGACCGGCCCAGCTCTGGGAGCTCTGTGAGTGACCCCCAGCCCAGCCCTGCTTGTGGGGCAAACGACTGCCCGGCTCCCGCCTACCACACCAGGCTAGGCGCCGGCACCACCGCTGCCTCCATTTTATCCGGTGGGGGCGGAGCTGGCTGGCTCAGATCGGGCAGACCAGCCATCTTCGCTTGGCGCGGCTTCTTACTGAGCCGTGCCACTTGTGTGCCTTAGCGCGGGGCCCCCCAGGGCCTGTGGACCGGCCACCAATCCCACTCCACCCGCGGATCTCTGGCGGGGCTGGGGGCGTGGAGAGCCCCTGGCCAGCGTCAGGAGGGCAGGGAAGAGGATCCCGGCCATACTGTCACTCCACCACACCTGGGGCTTCGGCCCCAGGTAAAATCCCTGCTTCCGGGAGGCAGATACCATCTCTGTGGCCTTCAGTTCGGAAGAACCCCAGACTGATGTCTGGTTGGGAGAGGGGTGACCGGGGTGCCCCCGAGCCTGCTTGAACCTACCGAGAGCTGAGGGCCTGAGGGCGCCGAGCCGGCTCACGCTGGGGGGATTCAAAGAGGAACTGTGTGCTGTGGGATCCTCCCCCGGGGGGCTCGCACCCTGGTGTGGGAGATAACTCAACCACACAGGGGGCCGAAATACCGGGGGGACGGTGGGAAGCCCAGAGAGGGCCTTGACCAGGGCCGCAGGAATGGCCACAGTGTCCGTGGCGGAGGCCTGAGACCCCTTCTGGGCCCGGCGGGCCTGAGAGATGAGGATTGCAGAAGACACGCCCCAGCCCTGTACTGAGCGCACAGAGAGGGGAGGGATCCGGCAAAGGAGGAGGAGTCTCGGAAAAAAAGATGCACCCTCTGGGTGGCCCCACCGAGTGCACACAGAGAGAGAAAATGCCCAGATAGCGAGGCGGAGACTTACAGATCTCACACACCCTGTCAGGCCGGCAGGACAGGATCCAGCTGCCAGGGCCCGAACACAAGGAACAGGGAGAACTCCCAGAGCTGACCAGAAAGGAAGCTTCCCGGAAAGACCCAAGACCCCAGGGAAACACACACATAGAACACTAAGGGCCATCTGAGCAGTCACAGAGGTAGGCACACCAAATTNGCAGCCACTGTCTTGCCAATATTAATTTCTATGCCTCATTCCTAAAAATAACTGATTTTAATTCCCACCACACCCAGGCTGCTAAGTACAGTTAAAGAAAAAAACCACACACCTTGATGAATGGCACCTTTATTAAGTTCGTCAGAGCCAAACTTAATAAAAATTTATATGGCAGGAGAAGGACAAAAGTAAGAAGTAAATAAAGAATTTATTTAAAGAGAACTGTTAAAACTTGGTGGCCTCCTTCACATAAGAAAGTGACAGAACTCCATTCTGGACATCGTGATTCTAGGAAATTAGTGGAATAAGCATATGAAGATGCCTGGCAGAAAGTTGAAGATGCGAGTCTAAACAGGTCTCAACTACAGAGTAATTTACGGCAATCCTTCTCACATTATTTTATATTTACTAACCCATAATAAGAAAGCTAATTAATCTTTATGTTTGGATTTCAATTATAAAAGCTCTAATAGTTTAACAAATTTGTAACTGTCAAACCCACAAGAATCTAGTACAGCATTTGCACACAGATATTCTAGTTTTTAAACAAGCATTAAGTAAATAAACAATTATTGTTTTTTGATGCTCAAGTATGAAGTTCCTTAATTATTATTGAGGGTGAAGGTCCCAAGTGACTTTCCCCTTCTACTACACACTATAATGAACAATCAAATCTACATGATCCTGGCTTATGCTCATCTCACTCTGAATTCACATGATTTTAAATTAAATCTATCACAAAATATTTACATTTAAGACTAATGTACTTACTCGGTAACCTTCAAGGTCTCTCATATGGATCTGCAAAAGAGAGAGATCCCTCAAAATTTGCAGATTATTTTTATCTAATTTGAGGGCATTTCGGTAACACTTAATAGCTTCATCATACTTCTTATCAGAACGCTGCAAGAGTCCATATACATGCCAACCTATTAAGTTAAGGAAATAGACACATTCACAGAC